TTTATCCAACCTGTATTTTGTCTTTTATAGCAGCATATCAGTTGTGGAACAATAAATGAGTACTACAAAAACGCTCAGTAAACATGCAATGACAATGATAGTCAGTGAAAAACTGATGCTTAAAAACAAAGTTGGCTTATCAGTTTCAAGGAAAAAAGAAAACAGAGGTATTGTCACTTGGAGACATATAAACTGACAACTTTTGAGAAAGTCATTATCAGGAAATAAGATGAAATGAAATTATACTGTAAAAACGTAGCTAGTTTATGCAGTCTAAACACTGATTAAAAATTGTACTTTTTAAAATTACAGCATACAATAGAAATTGCTTGACAGGCTTATATACAAATTTGCGTTTTTAGAATGAGAATTCTAGGAGAAACAAACTTGTAATATAGAGTAATTAGATTTAAAAGTATATAGGAGTTTGGTTAAGAACAGTTATAGCTCAAACATTCAGAAATTACAAAGTATAAGTTAAACCAAAGAATTTCTGGATACACGGTTGTTTTGGAACATAAGTGACATAATAACTCGTGTAATAATTATTTACTAGTAGCACTCGAATCATTCGCCTTTAACACAGTAAATAAAATGAAGTTATTTACTTTATTCCTCATCATCCTTTAAAATTTGAATAATTTCGTAAGATAAAATGTATCACACGACAATTGGTATTATCAACATATTGTTTTCCCAAGTATTGTTCCTTATCTACACGATAAACAGTTTCACGAATAACTTATTGTTTCAGGAAGCCTTTTGTTTCAAAACAAATTTAACACTGGTAGGAAAATCACTACTCATAAGAACATTTAAGTAGTTTTGTGTGGAAATAATTACCAATGGATTCATTACCCAAAGAAGCAATGGACAGTTGAACAATCTGTTTGTGAAGCTTCTGACTTTAACACTAAGTGAAATTGGTTTAAACTACACGACAGATACAATACTTAGCTGAGGCTAGTATTTTCAGAGGTATTATTCTCTGTGAGAAAATCTTTCGTTGGGAAGCTAGAGCTGAAGAGGCTGTCATTTTAACCGTCCAGTTCAGAGAACACGGAACCGGGAACATGGATATCTTTAAAGTTAGATATCTACCATGACGATGACAGTAAACAAACAGAACATTGTGGAGAAGGATTATTTAATTAAGATGCATAATACGAGTAAAATTAACACTTTAAAACCAGAAGGAGTCATCGGAAGGAATATTCCTTGTTTAGTAGTGCGTTTTAATGAAATAGTACCAAAGAATCTTTCTAAGGTTACAGAAAATCTATAGAAATGTATGCGCTTGATTTTCTAACTACCAATATCTTATTTCCCATTTCTTAAATAATTTTGTAATTGTAAGATGCAAATACTATAAATTATGACAGATGGTTTTTTTATGGACATTTACTGACTGTCAGGACGTTGAACGCAATTCTCTGCGTTAGCTATCACGGATCTTTAATGCCAAGCTCTCATGTTACAGCTCTAAACTTCCGCAATCTGCGGACAAGATGAGTTTTTAATGCATTAAATTAAACTTTAAGTCAAAAAAGCATGAAATTGCAAGTTGGGGCTAAGACAGCAATCGGTGTCGTTTCGTTTTGCATTACAAATCAGCCCATTGTTTATTTTCTTAGTATCATTGCCGAAATGTAAAACATTCATATCCATTTATGCATAACCTATCATATATGAAGGATCCGGATCTAGGTAAAATCGTAAGAAGACCTGATTTATCTGAAAAGAGTTATTTATTTGTACAACATATCTCGGAAATTCTGATCACGCACATACCCTTAATACACATTTATGTATGTATGAAATCCTAGCCATCAAAAGGCTTAAAACTATTTTGTGTTCAAAAATTATTTCTTATTACTCTGAACCTGCCTAGGTAATCCATTTCGAGAACCAAGAGTTATTCTACACAACAGTATTTTATCATGTTTCTCTTACCTCTTGTCTGTGATTCCAACCCCTACGTAAATATATAAACTAATACGGATTTACTTTTCATCTTTCGCACTCAGATTAATTTTTGCATAAGCATGCATGATCAGTAGGTGTGTGATTAGAATGTCCGAAGTAGTCTGCGTGAATAACTTATGCTTTTCAAATAAGTTGAGCCTTCTTGTAGTTTTCTCGGAGTTCATCCTGAAATCAGACATACGAGTTTGGTAACACTTGATGTAAGTATAAAACTTGCGCACTGTGGTAGGGTATAACTCCATTATGGATAAGATTTTATTCTGATAGATCACATAGTGTTATACAGTAGTATGTTAACTGATGACGTTTTGAGCACAAACTATTGACATTCGAGCACAAACTTGATATGATTACGAGCAGTACTTTGTGCTCGAAACGTCATCAGTTAATACTACTGTATGACACTTTGGTAACACATCATGCCCTTTTGTTTCTACATGGCGTACGAAAAATAATGTTAATATAAATGCACTTCAAAGGTCTTTCATTAAATACCTATTCACCCTAATATTACATCGAAGAGATAAGAACTTACGGGCAATGATTGAGCCAACCAAAAGAGGACTGTAAATTACAGGACAAAATGGAGATATGCTGTTGAAGCTCTTTTTTCCACTCAGAACCATAATATTTAACATATCTTAGAGATTGAATGAGCTCAGTACTGATGGAATAATGTTTACTTATCGTCACAAAGGTTCTACGACGATGATATTAGTTTAAATAAGCGTCGGTGGCACAGTGGTTAGGACTCACGCCGACCATGCACATGGTCCAGGGTTCGATCCCCTGCCGACGCACACCCGATATCTATGGTCGGCCTGCGAAATTTGGGCTACCGATATCCAAGCTGAAAATGCCATACTTGTTCTTAAAATACGGTGTGGCATCAAGCTGTAATCAAAAAAAATTTAGAGGCTGACGTTCACGGATAGTACGGAGTATACTAATGCAAGATCTAATACCCACAACTTCCAAAGTATTTGTTCGGCGTAGACACAAGAATTGATCGTCCAAATTACGAGATATATTTCGGGACCAAATCGGAGTGCGAGATGATTGCTTAGCTAGCTAGGGATCGTGCACGAACGAACGAACGTGACACGACGGCGTACCAAATGGGGTGGATGCTTGACCGGGAGCCTTCAGCTAAACAGGTTAGCTTAAACAGTGAGGGTCAGCATCCATTGTTCATTGATGAGTGCTGTGGTCAATAACTTTGGGGGATTATTTAGCTATGCAAGCACTAACTCAAAAACCTAACTAAGACCATGCGGTAAAATTTTCACTTATTCTTTTGACAAAGGAATCTCATTTTAATAGTAGTATTCACAGTCCAGTTCTAAGGGAATAATCTCTTCAAGCATGAATTCCCCTTTACATGTTTGAAAAGAGATAGAACAAGTATCGGTGCAGAATAATGCGGAGCCGTATTGTTTTATCGGTTTTCACCAGCTGCGTATAACCTCTAATATTTAACAAAACTGGCCTATATTATAACTGGCCTTAATAAATAGTATACGCTGTACACAGCCGACTACAACTGACGAAATAGAATGAATCCATATTATTCTACACCAATGTGTGTTTCATGTATGTTTTAACAATCTCTTATTGACTTGAATGAGTAAAGTGTGGATACAACTAACTGACATAAACATCTATTTATTTCCTAGTCCTCAGTTAGAACAGATCATGACTGTTTGGTTGGGAAAAGTAGTAGTCATTTCACGAAATGGAACCGACTCACTAAAATGTTAATTTTAACCTGTAATATGTAACCAAGATAGATGTGAACGAGTTTGATCCACTTAACCTGTCCAACTCGCAAATTAAGGCTCTACAAAACAATCTTCAGAAGTAATTACGGGGCCAGAAATATATTCATTTTTATCTTCATCTTCGTTATTTTCTATTCATACCTTGCTTACTTTATTTTAGTCTTTTACCTCCAAGGTTTCTCCGACCTCTAATTGTATGATTTACTTTTCGTCATCAACTTCCATTTGATATGTGGTAATGACGAAGTCTATGGTGACAATCAATATCCTTACAGCATATTTCTCCCAAAGCAGAAGTAAGCTAAAGGTTCAGCTTATGATTACGAAATGTATTCTTGCCATTTTGTGTATTACTTACTGGCTGTGGATTTATTTTTCACTGATGAGCTTCAAAAACACACATGATTAATATGGCAAACCGATTATCATCTGCAAACAGGCTAGACTATGCAGTGGGTCTCATAGACATTTGTTACTTGCTGCCAACATTTTCTAATGTAAAATGAGGATTTTGCAAGATACGAAGAGTATGTTCGTTTCATGAAAGTATTAGCTGTAAATTAAAGAACGCAGCACAAACTATACATATAAATACTTGGTAAATGTGTATGTGTAGCATGTGTGGTATGTGCGCGTCGGTGGCATAGCGGTTAGGGCGCTCACCGATCATGCATATGGTCCGGGGTTCGATCCCCGGCCAGCGCACTCCTTTACCTCGCTAAGCCAGAACTTAAAAAAGCTAGTGAAGTGGAAAGGTTGGGCATGAGGCTAGCAAACCCATTCTGTAATAATAAACACTGCCACAGAAACTTCAAGCCTGTAGCTTGAAGCCCTATGTTCCACTGGGAACGTGAAGGAACAAAAAAAATGTGTATGTGCCTGACTTCCTACACAATCCTTTTAATAATTTAAACTGTAATAACTGACTCTACGACTCACTCTTAAAATAATAATTTTGCACTTCAGATTACAAAAGTACTGACCGTCGTATGCAGACATGATTTGCGTATAAAATCAGTCATGGGCGTCTTAGATTCACATTTTCTAAATAAAATGATTACAATTGATTCTGTCATACTCGTCGTTTTCCTCTATTTTTTTACCTTGATAATCTTTTCGTATCAAAGAATTCAACAAGCCTCGGTTCTCTCTATTGAAATTTTTATTAGTTTTGACTCCACATTTTTGAACATGTTAGTCTGAATAGATACATAAATAATGTATTCACATAGGAAAAATGTATGTTAATTTATACAAAAACAACCTCAGAAGAAAGTGTCTATTCCCATTTATTGAATAAATATAAATAAATTCAGCTGATTCAATAAACTTTTTCGTTGATAGTTAATGTATATACAAGAATATATATATATATATAAATTGCATTGATATGTAAAAGTAGTTTCATCTCATAAAGAGAAAGTATTATTAGCAGAAGTCTGCGGTTTGTTATTGGCTATGATCATTGAACCTGAACACTGAAGCTGATGTTGATATTCTGGAAGCAAGTGTGCCAGTGAATTGTCATTTTTAAAATAGTTTTCATGTGATTTTGGTTTTCTTTTCAATGTCACTAAATCTGATACTTTATTGTTGGATTCAATCAAATTACTGTTATTTTTCGGTTTCTGGAATGAATAAAATTGTGATGCTGGTAGTGAACATGTAACAGTAGGTTTATCCTCTTGACTGAATACCTTTGATGGTATATTTTGTATGCATAAGAATGTATTATTACCATGGTTATGAGATAATTGTGAACCAGGAAATAAATCAATCATATCTGTTTCATGTTGACTTGTACAGTTTGAATTTCCTAATAAATCATCTCTCATAATATGAGATGAGTGTATTAAACAGTCGTCTGATGACATTATTTTCAGATAATCATTTACATATTGATGCTGATGGGGCGGATGATGATGATAATTATGCTGATGTTTTAAACTCTGACAATGACAACTGTGTGTAGTACTTGTTTGAGCTGTTGGTTTGGCTAGTAAGCCAGTGGAATCATCTAGTTTTGTAGGTGATGACAGTTTGCGACATGACATTTCAACGTTTTCACAAAACACGTTGTTTTGTTTTAAAGCATTAGGATTTTTCAAAATAAATGCTATATTACTATTTGTCGTGTGGACAGGGTCACAGAAGTTACGCTTTGTTTCTGATGGGCTAACTACTCCACCAGATGTGAACGCAGAAGATGATAACGGTAGGGACGACGAGGTCTGAAGAGGTGTGGATGAAGAAATGGATGGATATGTAAGAGGATTCAAATGAAAAGATGTTTGTAAATCTAAGGTGTCATGATTCATTATTGTAGAATTAAAATTCAAATCAGGATTTAATATGTAGTTCGACTGATAACAATCTTTACCATAATGTCTGGACGGACTAGAATGCTGACTGTAACAATTCTTGGTTAAAACTGTTGACGACTGCATCATATGTTGGTTATGTTGTTGTTTATGCAGTTTATCAAATGTTCGCTTACTTACAAATAATTGATATTTACGATAGACTAAAATTAAAGTTACGCAAAATAAAGTTAGTATTATAAATAAACACAGTAATATCCAGGTTAAGTGTAGTGTTGTCAGACATAAAGCGTAATTACACAACGGTCTATCGCGTGTTGATGCCAGTGATGAGGTGGACTTCATTTCTGTTTGACGGTCAGAAACTAAATAATTCGAATTCAATTCTTTGTTGTTGTTATTTTCTATGACTGGAATTAAAGTAAAATGAGAAAGAAACTTTTAAAATCACATGTTTTACACAAACCTTAAATGAATACTTTACATACAAAACATTTTCCTCGAAAGCTTTATTCCCTTACTCGTCTCAGTAGGTATACAGGAAAAGTGCAATAACCTGTCTGGTTTGTCTACATCCACACGGTCTTTCTTATATCTTAATTAGCCACGATACAAACACGCGAGAGAAGGTTGTCTAAAGAACTGAAGAGTTTGTGATTGGCACTTATTGAGTATCCACAAATGACTGTTATTCATACTAAATTCTTCTCAGCATAATATTTATTTTTGAAAACTAAAACTAAAATTATTTTCCGCTGATATACTCACTGAAATTTTATGTGCAATATGTTGATAAGTAGTGTTAACTTCTCTTTAGTCCAATCAACTTTCTAAGTTTCCAGATTTAAGGATACAACAAATTTTTCAGACATGAACGTAGAGTCATTCAAATAAAAGGAGTCACTGTTTGCCGCATGTTCCATTCTTTTTAATTTAAGTATCTTCATTTAATTAATGTGGAAAACCTTATTTCAGAATGTGATTGCAGTCTGCACTTTTAACTGAGGATTTTGACTAATCAAATGATCTAAAGGACATAGCTTATTACTTAATATTTTAGGGATCTCAAACGTACACACAAGGGAGTCAGTTACTTGTAAATACATATTTTGAAATGAGAGGTAATCACCGCTCCATATGTACTCTCAAATACACCTGCATAGACTGCATTGACGCAAATGTAACCAACTGAGTACCCATTCGTGAAGGTTTATTAATAAATGGCTCTGATGCCATAGAGATGGTTCTCATGTTTGCGTGAAGAAAGGCAGTGAGGCTTTTAGTTTAAACAATTACTGAAGAAAGTTATAATAATGTTAAAAGTATTTTTTTAGAAACTTCCATTAGATAACTGATATATACGTTCTCGTTGGACTAACATTTCCATTTCTCGTGTTAATCGATACCTATATTGTATCCAGTTCCTTCAAGGGATAATTAAGGTGAACACTTGTTTAATTTAAACCTTTGGTAGGTTTTATTGTTTATTTATTTTACTTTCCGTTGACCTGAGGTGATTCTAAGCTTAACATCAGAAAAACACGTGGTACATTGTTTGCAAATTTTATCAACATATATGTATATATATAAAACAACACCATCATACTATTATTTTATAACTCTTTAAAAATCAGTGCTCTGTAAGTTTTCGTGAAACGTAACGCAATAAAAGAAAATCAGCTAAGAATCAGGTTTCTGGGAATCATTCTGTAATACACTGCATCTTTTTCATGTGATTGATTGCATTCGGATAAGAAGTTAAACTGATGCATAGAGACTTTTAAAGTATTCATGAAATTCAAGAAAATTGTTAACGAGATACCGCAGTAAACTATCTTTGTAGAACATTTTTTATACACATTAGCTGAATAGCTATGGGAGATGAGTGTTAGACCTGAAATTAGCGAAATGTTATTCACATTTTTACAAAACATTTTGCCTCTACTGTCAAGAAACATGTTATTTATTTTTAAAGAATCAGTTTTCAGAAAAACGGGGAATATGTTCTAGTAACAAATAAAATAACTTCAAGAAAAACTGCCCGGCTTTACTGAATAACAGAGACATCAACTCACCTTTGTGTTGCTTTTCGCTAACTTCAATATGAGCATATGTGTATACTCTTAGGAAGTATCCATCACCCTTGTAAATGTGATTAACTTCATTGACCGGTGAATAAGTATTTTCATTACGACCATAATGTGGTATTAAATTCATTTTGCTATAGATTTCTGATGGTGTAAGTCTTTGCAAGTTGTCATTTTTCTTACAGTTTGCCTACAAATATGCATGAACAACAGCGATAGGATTAAAAAGTTATATTCCAAAATCAGTTTAGAAATCACTGACTTCGATGTCTTAGGCGTTATCATGAACTGATGATGGTGATAGAAACTTTCATCATGAAAGCAGAGATGTCCAGCGAACAAAACATTACGATGCTCATTATTGAAGTGTTAAGTGAAAACGGTGAATTATCAAGGTCTTGGAGAAAAACTTTTTCTTCCATTTACTTGGTATATTAAAATCCTAATGGGAGACATGAACGCCAAACTGGGACCAGACATACACAGGAAGAGAACTCATTATGGGTAGAGAAGCTCTTGGAGAGATGAATGAAAACAGGGAATTCTTCGCTGACTTCTGCGCTTTTAGTGAATTAGTGATTTGGTGGCAGCGTATGCAAGCACAAGGATATGCACAAGACTACATGGGTGTCACCGGACGGGCGAACAAAAAACCAAATTGACTTCATCTCAGTACTACTCGAGGAAGTGGAGACGCAGCGTACTGGACACAAAAGTAAGAAGAGGAGCAGACGTTGGCTCAGACCACTATCTCGTTCAAGGAACACTCCAACTCAAATTAAAAACTTTCAAAGAAACAGGAGCTGCAGATAGACCATAAGCCAAATTCAATACTCAAAAACTGAAGGATCAGGTTACAAAGGACATCTTCACTGCAATTATTGGGGAAAAGGTGGAGACACGAATCGACACTAGCGAAGAGACCAGCGTTGAAAACACTGGAACAGTCTGCAAGCTGTGTGGAATCAGACCTGCATGAAAGGTGTAGGCAAAAAGAAGGGACAGGACAAACAGTGGCTCACTACGGACACATGGAAACTAAAAGAAGAGAGAAGGATGGTGAAGCAAAAGATTATCCAGTGCATCGACGAGCAACAAAACAGGAGTTGAATGCAAGCTACAATACACTGAACAAAAGAGTAAAGAAAAGTGCTAAGGAAGACAAAAGAAAATATTGTGAAGCTATGGCAAGTGAAGCAGAACAAGCTGCAGGCAAAGAAGATCTCGTAACACTCTACCAAACAACTAAGTTCCTATTGGGGAAGAGATCAACACAAATTAAGCCAGTGAAGTATGACAATGGGAAGGCAATCACCAAAGAGGTGGAGCATAGGAAACACTGGGCTGAACATTTCAAAAGACTTCTAAATCGACCGTCACTTACAACGCGTCCAATAATACCATCAGCGGAAGCAGAACTACCAGTGGACATCAACCCTCCGATGAAAACAGAAATCCTGAAGGCAATAAAGATGCCAAAACCTAGAAAAGCAGCAGGACCAGACGGAATCCCAGCTGAAGCATTGAAAATGGACCAAGAGACATCAACGGACTCGATGATACCACTACTGAAGAAGGTGTGGAAAGAGGGCAAGGTACCTCCTACTGATTGGAAGAAAGGCTAGTTATTCAAACTGTCAAAGTAAGGAGACTTAAGTATAAAACTTGGGCACTGTGGTAGAGTATAACTCCATTATGGATAAGATTTGATTTTCATAAATCACACAGTAGTATTAACTGATGAAAGGAAAATTAAGTCAATGCAAGAACTGGCATGGCACTGTGCTCCTGTATATCCCAAGCAAAATACTAAGCCGCATCATCCTGGAGAGAATCGAACACGCCACCCTGGATCAAAAACTTCAACCGGAATAGGCTGGATTCAGGAGAAACAAGTCATGCATCCATCAAATCTCAACACTACGGATCATCATTGAACAAAGCTTGGAATGGCATTCACCTCTCTATCTCAACTTCATTCACTTTGAAAAGGCCTTCGATAGCGCAGTGTCGATCGAGATGTGATTTGGAAACCACTTCGCTACTATGGGGTGCCACCAACAATCATACACATCATCCAACAGTTGTACGACAATGCTGCATGCCAAGTAATCCACAACGGGAAACTCACGGAATCCTTCGAGGTGAAGACGAGAGTAAGACAAGGCTGGCTGGCTGCCTACTATCTCCAATGTTTTTCGTGAATGCAGTAGACTGGATAATGCGACAGACAGCGGGCCAGGCAAATAAGAGACAGGCATAACTGGATCGGGGTTTCGCCGACGATACATGTCTGATTTCTTACAAACTAGAAGATATGCAAGTGAAAAGCAACAAGTTGGCAGAAGAAGCATCCAGAGAAGATAGGACTTCCTTCAGGTGAACATAGAGAAAACGGATGTGGTGATGAAGATTCCTGGCCAACAGCCACAGCATCAACAACAGACAAAATCAGTATAAATGGGAGAAATCTGAAAGAAACAACCTCCTTCACCTACCGACCTAGGAAGCATCGTTTCAAGTGCAGGCCGACGAGACTGACGAAGATATCAAAGCGAGGATCACGAAAGCAAAGAAAGCTTTCATTACTCTCAAGTCTAGGTGGAGATCGACAGCACTCAACATGGAAAATAACATCCGGACTTTCAACTCCAATATGAAGTCAGTGCTACTATACGGATCAGGGACTTAGACAGCGCGTCACGAAGGGCACTTAAAAAACAAACTACACAACTTCATCAACAGCTGTCTTCCCTCAATACTACTCAAGATAAAATGACAGGCTAGAAAACATCAGTCACAGGGATCTCTGGCAATGGACGAACCAACTCAGCAGGAACCAACTGTGCAACGAATATGCAGGAAGAAATGGAGGTGGATTGGATTGATCATACTCTGAGAAAACGAACCATCAAGTGACATCCATCACACGCCAGGCCACAGCTCGAGTGGAACGCGAATAGTCATCAGTTCGAGGGTGACATGGAGGAGGTCATGTGAAGATGAGATGAAAGCATGCGGACAGACGTGGAGCCAGGTGAAAACGTTGGCAGAGAAGCGAACGCAATGGAGACATGTGGCTGAAGCCCTATGTTCCTCTAGGAATTAAATGAAACAATAACAATAATACTTGGTAAATTCATGTCATAACTTAAATCCAACACTTGTTCAAGTTTTGCTTGTGTGGCATTGTTTAGGAAAACGTATGATTAGATATAATTTAAGACTATCTACCCCTTATTTAAAGCTCTCTGATGAATTTTAATCGTAAAACAACGGTAACCAGACAAATATGATATCGTAGTACAAATAGTGTTTCTATGAATAGTGAAGCATACCTCATAAATCTCATATTTCCAAATGGCAGAAATGAATCAGCCGAGCAATGTCTGTCACGTTTTACTAGTTCAATTCAAAACTTATATAATACTCTCATTATTTTAAGGGGGTTATCATACTGCATGACTACTCTTTTTGTAGACATTCCTCTAATTTTCACAGATATACAATTCTGTTTAATTCTATAAGTGGTCAAAGCTAAAAAACCGTAGTTCATTCTCTTCTCCCAGTAATCAGACACGGATGTGTCTATGTCCATGTAGTCATATCTTGAAACATTTCTGTCATGGTGTTTAATACTGCACTTATTTTCTGGTGTAGTTAGTACTCATATCTCTAGAGGAAGGAAATACAAAATATTGGACTCACTTTTAATTGTCATGAGTGTTGTATATAAGTTACAGAAACAAATTAACTGTAACGTGTATTATTTCAGGTTATTTCCTCGTGAATAAGCCTAGGAGAAAGCATTTATCCTGATGTTGAGTTTTTTTTATTAGCAAACGCTTACTTTTGGTAATCACATGCAATAACTCAGCCATGGATTACTTACAAGCTGAAAGCCGTTATTTAAAAATGAGACATTTTGATAGCTAAAGCGTGCTTCGACTGATTGATTGTAATGGATCGAAACGTTCTATCTCTTGACTGAATTACATTATAATAATCTGTAGGTTACGTTTTAGCCTTCTTAATTAAGGGCACTTCGACTAGGCCGATCACTTCTATGGTTTAGTGTAATTTGTTTCTTCTTTTTAAAAAAGTACCAGATGACTTAAATGTACATTACCACAGAGAAATGTTTGTCACCAGTTGAAAGTTTTTAGTGTACATCATGAAAGTCAGAGGAAATGGGCCTTGTTGGTGTCCTCAGTAAGCATGATTAAAATCTACCATTTACGCAACATAACAGCTCGGTAGGACTGCTTAATTAATGACGAGTTCTTTATTAGTTTGAACAGAATATTTTCAAACACTGAGATATCAAGTTAGTCCACAAAACTTAACAGTTACTTAGTACTCAACATTCTACAGATATCAAGTGATGACAGTCAACCATGAGACAAAGTAATTCTTCGTATTTTCTGATTATAGTTATGAAATGATTTAGTTACTAATATAAAAATAACAACATTACGGCTTGTTTGTTCAACTATTTTTTAGCTTTGAATTGTCAGTTAACTTTCTTGTATATTAGAAACATGGTTATTTCATATCATCAGTAATTATTCTAAAGTAATATTTACTACAATGACTTGAAATTTGGCTAATATTACCCTGGCCTGAAGAAATGTGTGCACTTCCCTACTTTGCTGCCAATCTCAATGCGCATGCTTTTGCTGTAAAGAATGTGACTTACTTAAGTAGTATGTGTAGATAATAAGAAAAGATGCTTTATAATGGATATATCCTTGATTCCAAATTGCAGATTTTACACTATGAGTAGTTGAAAATCTCAGAAGGATCCTTATTTTCACGTCAGTTTGCATCTGCTGATAACTGATTATGCTGGTCGAAAATTCCCGTTCTCTCTTGACATCCTAGCAGCAGGCATATCACCATAGACAAAGCATTTCTGACCAATCAAATCAGTCAAGTGGGAGATGCAAATTAACTTAAAAACAACATAATGACTGATAACCGTGGCATCAAAGTTGTCTCCCATGACCCTAGAACATAATGCTTTGGCGTTTAGGACAATGGGTTCAGGGTTTGAATCTCATTGCGAATACTATGACTCACTAGGAATGAAGAGTCCCAAATAGAAGATTTCGTTCATTCCGTCATCGTATATTGCATCGATATAGTGTTGATCATGTGGAAATATTTCTTATATCTTCAAGTCCTACA